ACTGCCAGCACTAGTTGGCAGAGGGAGAAGAAACCGTTAATGTTTGATATGGTTGTGCCGGATCTTCTGCGGTGCAATATCCAGATAGCAGGCATCCGATGTGCGTGTGGCCCATTGAGTACGAGTAGGTTCCATGCTATCAATATCTCGCATATGTTGCTCCAATGGAATTTCCTCCTTAGAATCCAATCGCAAGGATTCATGGAGACTACCCAGAGTCCAGCTTCAAATCACACGATATCTGAACAGCCCTTAATTGTTGCCAGGGACGTCATGAGCTCGTCTTTTGCCTTCATGAAACTGCTAGCTCGTGCCATGCGGTCGTTATACGTGTAGCTGATCATGAGAGGATGGGTCTTGCTTAGCCGTTGAAAGTGAGAATCGCTGCGAACATCCGTGTCAGCGCTGATAGTGAGCCAATGACCACGCTCCCAGTGTTCCCGACGTCACTTATACATGAAGTTGAGAATTCTCAGCACAGCAGCGTAAAGCTCGCCTTCGAACATCTCGCGTAAAAAACCAAGAACTTGATACGGTTACGCCGCATGTCTTCCCAAGGACTCGTTAAAAGTAGGTCTAAATACTCGAACATGTCAAAACGTGCATGTAAAGCCGCGATGACATGGCGAGAATGTTTGTAATCTGGGAGTCCTAGTGCCTGCCGGAGACCACAATGTCATAGAAACGTCGGCTGGATTTACTCGTGATGGGCTCGATGACTTTGTCGGCCTCCTGGATAGGCTTGCGATAGATGGAGTAGGGGCCACAGTCTGAGCATGAACGCGAATGTTCTTGGATGTGAAAGGTGGTGACATTCATATTCGCCCGCGTTTAAATGTCGAGTAGGGGCCACAGTCTGAGCATGAACGCTAATGTTCTTGGATGTGAAAGGTGGTGACATTCATATTCGCCCGCGTTTCATTTTGCTACTCGCGTGGCTTGTCTGAGCTGGTGGATGAGATTTCTTAGAAAACGTATTGCCAGTATCATCCGCAGGTCATGAGCAGAGGATCTCGCGTCATCACCTTGGGCACTAGCTGGGAACACTGGGAGTGGATCCTAGGGTTCAGGAGCTGTAGCAAGATGGACCTCACAAACGCTGACCAAAGCATTGGCCAGATATTCATCCGGGATTGACTGAACCCATGGTGTGAAATTTAGTTTTTGCCAATAGATAGCCGACCTCGGCATCCGGTGTAAGGCCTCTTTACCAAACCGAGAGTGCAATAAGGTGGATCTACCAGTCGATTTCACAGCATCCCAGAATGGAGTACCGCCCAAGATCGATTCTCGGACATCGGCACGAATGTGTTCCCATGTAAATGGGCAGGGAATTAAACGCTTGGCGTCCGAGACTGGAATAGCAGACGGGGAGCGGTTCAGAATCCGGATGAGGTTGGGGATGATGATTGTCAGGACGACTGCTTAGCTCAACCCGTTTCAGCAAAGACATGACTTTACGAGATGGAGACGAACTACCTCGTGGTACCTGAGAATGTGGTGTATCCGAGGCGGACTCCGTAAGGTTGACCACGGCACCTGGAATGGATTTTTGTTCTCCAATTCTGAGACCCCAGTGATATCGGAAGAGAGAAAGAGAGAGATCTGAGAGCTTGAGAGCTTGAGTGGATCTTGGGTCTTGGCTTAGATACTGGAGTTGACTTGGAAATACCTTGGTGCAGCTGAGATAGCGTGTGAGCTGCTGCGTGACCAGACGACAAAGCTAAAGTAGGCTCAGAAGTTACGGGTGTGCGACGGTGAGGCACATACGGTGCACAAGCGTCGCTCACCAGGTCCCGAGCCTGAACAGCTAAGGATTTCACTGCCTTGGGATCCACGCTGGTGTTGGCCCAGTAATGATCCACCAACTCTTTAAGACGAGGCCAACAACCACGAAGTTGTAGTTCTCCGGGATGAAATCCATGAGGCCGTCAGCCGATAGCAGTCTGATAGCAGCGAGTTCCGCCTCAGCTTTGTCTGCTCGATACTTCTCGAGACCCATGGACTTGAGAATGTCCTCAGTTTTTAAGCGTGGCCGCTGCAGAGTTCTTCGCTCTCATTGAGCCCTTGCGCAATTCCATGACCTCCGCACTCAAAGTGATAACCTTGTTGGTTGCTGCAGTGAGATCTCGTTGAGTGAGGTTGGGAACACGGCCAGCATTGAGCTGAAGCTGAAAGGCGCGAACATCAGCCGCAAGATCAGCTCTTGAACGATGTAGTAGCTCTCCAGTTGCGCTACTTGATCCATGAGCCCGCTATTACGAGCCACCACTTGAGTAGCGCCATTGGGAGCCTGGGATTGGTGCACTTGACCCAACGTTATACGTAAGAAGCGCAGCGTGGACACCACTCTGAGTGCAAAGCAGTCGGCTCTGAAAGAACGCAACAGAGGGAAGACTTCACGGTCAATGTGATGAGGCGGTTTTCCAGTTTTCAGGATAGCCTGATCATTAAATGCGACAATGGAAATCCAGAGATCTTGATTGGTGGAGATGGAGCAGACGGTGTGACAATTGTGGAAAGAAAGCCTGGTGTGAGTGGTGAGTGTGTGGAGACCCAAGGATGGGTCCTTCGAAGCACACGTTTCAGTGATGTACACTCAGGAACGTACATGTGCTCGGTGCGGAGCCGCCCCCGTCCTGAACACGGGTTGCCAAGAAGAACCTTAATTTGTCTGCGTAAAGAACCTCACTCTTTCACAGCTCCGAGCTACACTATCAGAAGTGAAAGATGAACCCAGTGTGAAAAGTGCCAAGGCTGGGCGAAGAGCTCCATCTGTCCCCAAGGCCCAGACGGTTTCAGAAACCGATCAATCTGGTTTCAGACAATCCAATCCCAGAGACTCTGGATCGACAAAGTCCGGACCGGGGAAGAATGGCTCCAACAGGCCTGAATCCAGGAAGGCTTCGGCCCGCAAGGCTAAAGAGGACTTGGGACCACCACCCTCTGACCCCGGAGACGGTTCGGACTCTAGTAGTGACGATGGAGACAACGATCAGAGACTGGTACGCTCAGATGCCCAAGTCGACACGTCATAGTTGGAAACTACTGTCCATCAAGTTCAAGAAGCTGTATTGTCGTAATACTGGATCTTACGCGGAGTGATACTTTACTATGAAGATGAGGCCCTCAGAAACGGCGCTGCACTTCTTCTACAGACTGAACGCGGCGGCCGTGAAGGCAGAGATCCCGTTCCAAGCCAGCTCCGAGCGGCGCAAACTGCGCCTCCGCAGATTTTTCAAGAAACGCAAGGACGTACAGCTCAAGACGGCTCTCGAAGGCCATCTGTTTCAGAGTATCTCTGAAGTGGAGCGTGTGCTCCGACTCCATGAAGATGTCTGGAGAGTAGATGGTTATGAGACGCCACCGACGAAGACACGAGATGCCAAGACCGACAACTTACCCCGCGTAGGTCTCAAGCATCGACGGTCAGGACATGCGTTCCTCAGTCAAAATGTCGACGCTGGGACCATCCCCGTCACGGAAAAGCATGTCCAGTTTCAGACCCCAGAAGTCGAGGAACAGCCCTTCGCGGCGGATCCAGATACCCCGGAATATGGTCCGGACGACTATGGCCTCAGTGGTCTGAATTGCCGACGAATCATATGAAACATATCGCGTTTCTGAATGGTCGGAACAACAACACCTGGAAAACCGAACACCTTCTGCGAGAAATACAAGAAGTGGGGTTACCCCGAAGAGAATTGCTGGCAAGACATTGTTTGTGGGAATTGTTCTGAAACGAGACATCTGGCTCGAGTCTGTCGAAAGAAGCGATGTGCAGACTGTGGAGAAGGTCATCCTGGAATTCCGTGTGCGGAGTGGAGAGCGTTCAAGACTGTGAAACATCTGGCAAAACAGGGCATGTTGAACGACGCAGTGCCGAGCCAGACTCTGGCCCAACTACAGACGAGACACAGGACAAGGGAAGCAGCAGTTAAACCACTGAGCCTCTGGATGGAGATCCGGTACGCGACGGGCTCAACCCCCCCACACTGTGTGTGCTAGTTTGTATGGGTCCAGAAAGAAAAAGAAGAATGGACCAAAACCAAGATAACCAATAATGCATGACTCTAATTCAAGACGGGATCATCTTTCCTGAGCAATTTTACCCTGAATATCAGCGTTCTAACAAACCAGATTCAGGGTTAAGTCTTGCCGAGGACCCGCTCGAAGTTGCATTAGGCCCGGGACAGAGATATGGATGGTGGAAGATCATCATTCAGAGGACTCGTATCAGATCGCGACTGTGTGTGGGGCGATCAATGATCGGCGAACGAGGATACTCCGAGACACGGGTGCTTCGGTGAGTGTTGTGAGTCTGGACCTAGCGCGTAGGCTCAGCCACAAAATCCGAATGCACCGACAGATCAAGGTGTCTGGTCTAGGAGGAATCCCGACGTATATCTTCGCGCATGCTCGCGTCAAGATTACCCTTGGTTGGGAAGTGGTTTAGCTTCAGGATGTCTGGATCGGAAATATTGGTGAAGGTGTGGACGTATTGTTAGGTATGGACTTCATGTATTCCGCTGGAGCTAGATTGTGCATCCGTGAAGGATTAGTCAAGCTACAAGGACGAGGAGAATGTTGTGATGTATGACGGCGTCCCTAGGAAGCGTAGAGGTCTAGAACCGCCGGCCTGCTCGAAGGAAAGATTGCATATACGTCCTGGCGAAGCTGCGGTAGTCAAGATTGAATATTGGCAGACCAACCCGCAGCGAGAAGTGGTCTGGGCCGGACGAGGAAAACGATGGGTGACTGAGATCCTGTTTGGGGCCCGGTCGTGGGCTACGGCAGTCCGAGTGGTCAACGTTTCGGACAGAAATGTCTGGATCGACACTCGAACTGCACTTGCTTGGATTGTGGAGTACGGGTTCTTTACGAAGGAGCCAGGATTCGTCCGCCCAGGGAAGACTAGGTGTAAGGAGTGGCAACGGCTTATTCTCGAGGGCACCGAATTGCGTCAGGGCCGGATGCGTGCTGAACACCTAGAATAGTTGATGCGACTACGGGGTCCTGCCACGGTGCCACGACCAGAGTATCAGTGGCCGACCAAACTCCTTGTACGCCCAAAATCTCAGGATGCAGAGGTTCGGATGGTGCATTTGCAGGAACGACCAGAAGTTGTGGAAGTTTTCCTCGCTGCGCGACGTGCCCCCACCCCAAAGCCAGAGGCAAATGCCTTAGGTGTGAAAGATCTGGCAGAAGTCCCTATGGCGACATTAGCCGAGGAGACTGGAGACGTAGTTACCAGAGGTGTTGATACTCAAGTTGACTTCCCAAGCGTTTGCGGGTGCTGGTGTGGCTGTGTTCTTGCAAACTGGCCAGGCCTGAAGCCTGAGGTGTACGCTCAGAGACGTCTACGACTGGAGCGACTGCGGAAAGCGCAGAGGATTCAGAGCGACCCGGAGCATCGTGGGCTTGGAAGAAGATTTATCGGCATTGCGTCACCCACGTCTAGGTCACAAATGACTCCGCGAGCTGGGACCGGTGCTGCATTACCATCGCCCAAAAAGATACGACGATGATAACTCAAGATCTTCCGCATCTTGTCCTCCATCTCGAGGGTCGTGAAGCCTGGAACGCCGACATCAGCTTTGTCGATGTCACACCCCGGGCTCAATTCTTTTAACGCTGGAAACATAGTCAAGTGATCACTCAACTGAGCAAGGAGCTCTGTCCCTTCTCGTAGGTACACAGCTGGTACCAGATCTAACTCCTCTACGGTCACTTGCATTACACGTTCGTATTCTCGTTCCAATCGTTGGACAGGAGTGTCCGAGAGGTCCGAAGCGTCGTCCATGGGGTCTGATAAATCTTCCAAGGCTCTTTCGAGGCGTGCTCCACGGCGGCGTGACCAGGAGGGGGCGGTGCTTCACGTCTTCCGAGTCAAACTCTGGAACGAACTCTGAATCTTCGTTCGTTTCCGAGGTGAAATACACCGGCCTTGTCAGCGGATGACATTCTGGATCCTCTGCCCCTGAAGAGGTGGCTGGTGCTCGACAGATCGCCTCCAGGTATCTGGTAAAGGTTTATGAACTGCCGAGGAGCTCCTAGAGGCGGGCTCATTGAACACTCTGAATCGGAGTGGTCATCCCCGATCGTGATCGTTTTGAAGAAGAATGGGGAAGATATCAGAATATGTGTTGATTATATGCTGGTTAACCAGTTGATCAAGATATCACGATACCCCCTACCTTTGATTGACGACCTCCTGACTGATTTTAAGACCGCGGCATGGTTCAGGAGATTAGATATGGCGAGCGGTTTCTGGGCAATTCAGATGACGAAGCGGGCAAAGTTGATTTCGGCTTTTGTCTGTCCGTTCGGACACTTCCAGTGGATCCGGATGCCTTTTGGACTCAAGAACGCGCCGTTAGTGTATCAGATGTGATTAATAACTGTCTCAGGGGATTCGTGCGGCTCCCACCCGAGGAAGAGGCCAAGGTCGATCGAGATGTCCTAGAAATTCTGAAGTTGCCTGTCCCAGACACTGGACCGACGATCGAGAACCCTCGTCACGAAGGTAGTACCAGACTTCTGGAGTTGACGAAGGAGGCGTCTGCATTCAGGCGAAATATTCCGACACCGACACAGATGGGACCAGTCGTGAGGCGAAGTTCCTACATAGATGACATAGCTCATGGGGCGCCTACCTGGAACCAGCTCTATGAGGATCTGAATGCTCTGCTGTTCCGACTCAGATACTGGAATATTTTGGTCAGTCTCCCGAAAAGCGAGTTCGGTAAGCATATGCCGTATCTGTCCCACGAAGTCTGTGCCGAAGACATTAGAGCTACCCTGAAGATTGCCAGGAGCGTTCAAGACCTACCGTTCCCATCGACTTTGAAGGGCGTTCAATCGTTCTTAGGAAGTCTGAATTACTACAACAAGTTTATCGAGGATTTACCTGTTGTTGCGGCTGTGCTGTACGAGCTAGACGAGGACCGCGTTCGAGCCGACCCGATTTGGATAGGGCCAATGAAGCGTTCAAGATTCTGAAACGTAAGATTACGTCGACTCCGCTGCTGCGTCATCCGGATTGTACTAAGCCGTTTGTTATCATCCCACATGCGAACCCCTGGGCGGCCTGCGCTGTCCTGGGGCAGGAATATGGTGGGGTCATCCAACCATTTCGTTTTACGGGCCGGGTTCTGAGCGAGTCCGAACTCAGATACCATATTGCAGAGAAGGATGTGTTGGTAATCCAGCGAGTCCTAGATCAGTTCCGTCCACTCATCTACAGTTCAGAGATACCGATTGTAATATATACTCGGTACTCGGTCCTGAAGAGGCTACTGAAGTCAAATTCCGCCGACGGCCGTCACCTAAAGTGGGGTCTGGAATTGTCGAAGTGGACGCTGGAACTACGCCGTGTGCAGCGCGATGAAGATGGATTAGCCGACATCCTCGGCGCGGGCATTACCCCCAGGGGACATTTAGACGAAGTTGCTGAAAATCTGATTCCGGCCAAGGGGCGAATCAAAGCGCCCCCTCCAATCAGTGTAGAGATGCTGAATTCAGACATCGAAGGATACGTTCTGAGCTTCGATGATGCGGCCAAGGTCTCCACCAGACAGGGAAGTTGTTGATGCATTCTGTGGCGTTTACCCGGTTGGCACGTCCTGAGTTCCCACGGGTTCCCTCTGGATGACGTGACTGTGAAAGATGCAGAGTATCACGGGTTGATCAAAGGCTTGGAACTAGCCGTCGACCGCGGTTTCAGAGATGTGGTCGTGGTCGGCGATTCCAGGATTGTCATCCTACAAGCGCAAGGCTAAATAGGTTGCCACAAGCCTAATCGGCAACGTCGCCTCGCCGAGTATGAAGCGTTGAAGATGAAATTTGACTCAGTACGGTTGGTCCACGTCAAGCGAGACTACAACCAAACCGCAGACTACTTGACGACGAAGACGTTGGCACTCGAGAAGGCGTGGGTGGTGGAGGATGCTGATGAGCTGATGCATGTGAATTTTGTCTCCAAGATCCCGGAGAAGATAATGAAGCCCCCAGAATTCCCAGAACGGATGGACGACCCAAGTCAGAGCCCGAAGAGCGACGGTCCAAATGATTCCGTTTCAGACCCTAGTCCAAGCACGCATGAGCCAACGCCATACGTGAGGGTGGTTATGACCCGAAGCCGTTCCAGACAGGTTAACCAAGTGGATGGCCCGAGTCACCCACTTGACTGTCGGGACAAACGTTGGAGACGCATTAAGATCCACCAGGACGAGGATCCAGAGTTAAAAAATCTCAAGGACTATTTGAGGGGTGACCTGGTGAACTATGCGCGGAAGGAGGTCAAGAAGATCGCGAAGGGTTCAGACCGATACGTTTTAGACTCAAGGAATGTTCTTTATCGTTTGACCATGCCTACCCCAGGGACAAGCGTTTCGAACTTCGCTTAGTTGTACCAGTAGCCTTGCGCCCCGACATCTTACATCACGCTCACGAAGTTTTCCATGTGCGTCTGCGGTCAGAGTTTTTCTGGACCGGGATGTTCCAGGATGTTGAGGTGTTTGTCAAGGAATGTATGGATTGCGCTTCCTCCAAGGGGCGACCTCCAAACCCAGCACCCCCGCCCGGAAACATTGAACGAACCAGTCCATTCGAAGTAGTGTCCATGGACTTTGTCACACACCTCCCGAAGTCTGAACGCGAGAACACCTTCCTACTCTTGTTTCAAGACATGTTCACAGGGGTCGTTATGTGCAAACCCATGAGCAGTACCACTGCCCAGGACTGCATTGAAGCCTATGAGGAAGTTGTGTTCAGGAACTATGGTGCAAGCTCTGAAATTCGCCACGACAGAGATCCCAGGTTCATGAGTCGGGTGTTCCGCCGTTTCAGTGAGATGATGGGTATCCAGCAGAAAGCGACGCTCGCGTATCCCCCTCAGGCCAATGGCCAACAGGAACGGTCGGGTCAGACATTTATGCACAGTATCAGGGCGTATGTTGAAGTGCCCGACCAAACCGACTGGGACGACCACGCGGAGAAGCTTATGCATGCTCTGAATACCTCTTTCGATGCGACCAGATTGGACACGCCGTTCTACCTACTGCACGGGTTCGATTGTCGGGGTAACATCAACTGCACCATATATCCAGGTAGGAGGTGGTGGATAGGCTCGTCCGAACGCAGTAATTTCAGGGCCTCTTCATAAGTAAGACCCGTGAGCATCAGCATACGGACGTCTTGTCGAAGATCTTCCCAGAATAAACCATCCGGAACAAGCTTTGGGGCGTCGGCCTCCATCGCTAAATCCAAGTCCGTGTCAGGACCGTAAACGAGGTCTTCCCGGGGGCAGTGCTCCTTGGGGAGCATCTGCCTCTCCTCAGTGATGTCAAGTTCTAATTTGCGGGCGCTGCCCGCGCGACGAGAACTAGACTGCTGTGGCCCCTTGCGCTTGGTTCCAGACGTTGATCTCGTTCTGGAAGGTCGAGACTTGGTACCGGGGGTCTTCGATCCTCCGCTACCCGTCAGGTCTAGAACCCTAACTGCTTTCGGAGTTGATGGTTTGGGTCCAGAACCACCACCACCACGAGGATTTCTCGGCCGCGGGTCAGGTTTCACGTAATCCGGAGGCATGTAACGCACGTTGTCCATAGCCGTCACGTTGATCTGGGTGTTCCAGTCAGAGGGAGGCGTGGTGCCCTCGGCGTAGTGCCGGAAAATGTCTCGGAGCCGCTCCCAGTTTGAGGTGACCGTGACCCCACTCTTATCCCGCATTAAGAAATCCAATAAGTCATCTGGATCCAATGCACTGCCATCGTCACGACGTTCTGTGGCTTCTTGGGCATCTTGCGCAGACCAGAGCTCCGTCCGGAGTCGAGTATTCTCGTCTTGCAGTATCTGGGTCCTGCGTTTCAGACCCTCTTCCACGTTTCGGAAGAAACGAATACGAGCCGCCATCGTCGTGGAGCTCCGACGCCCAACATCCTGGATATGGCGGTACCAGTATTGGCACATAGCCGTCCACTCACGGTCCAGAGCGTGATTCGTGTCTTGGAGCAAGAGGGCGTGGTCCGTAGTCTTGTTCGTGTCCAGACGCCGAACTTGTTCTTGGAGGTCCCGAATCTTGACCAGAAGACGCATCAGGAACGACATCGTGTTGTATGTGCGCTCCACGAGACGCCCCGAGGAGAAGTGAGCCAAAATCGAAGCGATTTCCCGCTGGACCAGAGAGGACCGGCACGTTCTTGAGCCGTCAGAGCATGGTGACGCAGCTGGAGCAAGAAATCCAACGAATTTAGCCCTAACAGCCCTTCCAGGTCTGTGAGGTCCTCCGAGCTCAAACTCTCAAACAGGAGAGGAACTTCCAAGCCGTTGCATCCGTTGCACACCCTCGCCTCGCGTTGCAGGGAGGTTTCCGTGGCCTGAATGCCAACGATGTCACGCTCGGCCGCCGAATCGAAGCTGGGAGGGACGTCCCAACTTACAGGAACGACTGGAGCCCCCATGGAGACCGAAGCCATGGGCGACGGAATGACGCCAAGCAGACAGATTCTATCTGACTCTGATGGAGAGGAAATGCGCTCCGCCAAGCACCACACTCGGTGTTGGCTGCGATGACACCGAGGGACTCCTAGAGCCATGATTGTTGGCGGTGTCCCCGGCCTTGTCATCTGGAAGTGACTTCCCGACGCTCTTCTTTCCTCGTTGTGCTCCTCAGTCGCGGGCGAACCTTTCTTCGCGTCGCCGGAGTTGGAGTCATCAGGGTTGTCGTTGTCGCTGCTGGCAGGCGCGCCAGAGCCGTCTAGCACGCCCTGTGCGTCGCCGCCAGCGTTCGGAGGGCGCTGCTACTGTCAGTAGCTGCTGCCCCCAATCCCGAGCCGCCGGATACGCCCGAAGTGTGCGCGCCGTCGCTGATTTGTGGTGGTGCCAGCGTTACGATGGCCATCTTATTCAACAGTTGGAATCGGCGAGTGTTTGATTCGGAAAGGTCAGAGTCTAGATGGGTGCCCCGCACTAAGTGCGATTGTTGATCGCCGTTCCGGGTTGTGTCAGGCCCAAATCGACAGGACGCAGAAACGATGTGAGAAGAGGCGGATAGACCAATCCAGAGCGCCTAGTTTTAGACACTGGGGGTTCACAGTCTACTCTGTAACCCTGGTACCTCGTGGTCCCGGACATGGCTTGTCACCTTGGAAATTCCACAATAACCAGTCATGACCAGGAGGGGCGGCTGTGATGAAGCAGTTTTCCAGTGTTCAGGATAGCCTGATCCTTGAGTGCAACAATGAAAATCCAGAGATCTTGATTGGTGGAGGTGGAGCAGACAGTGTGACAATTGTGTAAAGAAAGTCTGGCGTGAGTGGTGAGTGTGTGGAGAGCCAAGGATGGGTCCTTAGATTCCGGAAGCACACGTTTCAGTGATGTACACGCTGGGACGTACATGTGCTCGGTTCGGAGCCGCCCCCGTCCTGAACACGGGTTGTCAAGAAGAAGCTTAATTTGTCTGCGTGAACGTATCGCTGCAGACAACCCGTATTGCCTTGGTTCCAGGCACCAAATATCACCTCTCTGGACCCAGAAACTACTAGAAATGACCGCAACAACCCAATGCACCGCAATACCCCCAAGAAAGTCAAGAACTAGATTGTGTGGATTTCTAGTGTCCAGGGATACTGTATGAATATGTTACGACTACGATGGAATGCGAGTGGAGCTAGAACCTAATGAATCCGATCGTCGATAGTCTGAAACGAGCCTCATCTCAGAGAATATGGGCCTCGTTCCAGACATCCCAATTCTGGTTTCAGAGATTACCGATTACCAAGAACATTACCAAGCCTCCAAGACACTAGAGCAGCGAGCTCGGATGTCCTACGACTGTGTGTGGTATGTGAGACCAAGAATCATGTGGATAGAGGACCAGTTTCAGAGCAGAAGAGACGACCCAAAGGCGTGGAGGTCCAAGATTGACGACAGCGAAGTGCACCCACCCTATACAAAAACCAAGTGAATTCCCCCAAAGGTATACAGAACACAAGATATTACCAGAATGATTTAGAAAGTAGATAGCCGGAGTATAAAAGTGATAAACAGAGTTAGTTTTACCAAGTTGAGTGCATGTCGAATTCGTTCGGGAACCCGCTAGCGAGGACGCGTGCTGAAGGATGCCGCGTACTTCCTCTCAAGCATCAAGTCCAAATTTCCTGTGGGGATCGGGCGCGACGGCGTTCCAGAGTTGATCCACGGCATTCCATTTCCCAGTTGGGCCCACTGAGTGAAGGTGTGAAGGTAAGAGTGGGTTCCCATTTCATGTTGAAGATTCTGCTTGAAGGGTTTAGTGGTCCCCTGCAAGTGTATACTTAGACTGCATTTCAGAGATTTGATAGTATTGTATCCCTCCTAGAGAGAGGTGCACGTGAAGAAAGGAGTGCGCTTCAGACCGACCAGTGTCTAAAGCGTATACTCAGTTGGCTGGTGATAGACCCACCGTTCAAGGGTCTTAAAGAATAAGTAACGGCTGTATATTTGTATATTTTACTCTGTATTTTGGCTATCTTACAAGGGAGTGTGTTCTGGGGCTTTGTTCCTAGTCGAATAAGGGTGGTTTCAGCCATTAAACGTCCAACCCGACACGCTCAGTGCCTACATTAACCACCAACCCGGCCGGTTGTCAGGCTGCCACTAAGATCGAACTCAAAGGGATTCACAAGGGCCACACGCCAACCCTGGAGCGTTCGAGTTCTAGAGTTTCTGACCCCAGCGCCAGAGAGTTCATTAATTCTCTGGACTCCCTGGGCTACCGCACTATACTCTTGCTGCGGAAAAGGTTCATAGACCACGCCACATCAACCTGAGCGCGAACCTGAGAATCTTGGAAGTTCGGCGCAGCTTGTAGTCGCTGCTAAAATGGTAACAGCATCTCAGAAGTTGCCGATATACTGGTTAAACCAGCCAGCAGTTCTGAACCCGCATGAGAAAATCCAGGGACTTGCATGACTCGCATCAGTCCCGCAGGTGTCTGTTCCAGCTGAGCGTGACCAGCAACGTCATCAAGCAAAGCAGGAATACGAATCTGGTTGGACCTTGGAGCCGCGAGCGTGCGCGAAATGTGCACTCCACCAGTGTTTGCGGCAGGCATGGTCCGATTGTACGGCAACGTGGTAGTCACGGGTGCAGACACCCACCCCGCTAACAGTAACGGGAGTTGGGATCACAGCCACCGACACCCACCCGCTCGGATTGACGAGAATTGGCGATGCCGATGTCTGCACCACGGAGACCGATGCTGTAGACGGAATTGTCGAAGCCCAGCTGACCGACTGCGACGTTATAGTAGCATGGTGGTCGTATTCTGCGCGGAAGTGCCAATCGCGGGAGAACTGCTGGTGGCGGCCGAGACAAAAGTGGCATTCGTGGACGTTGTAGTCACACTGTCGCCAGCACTTGAAGTCACAGGTGTAGATGGTTGCGCAGATGAAGGCGGAGCCGAAACCATGATCGCAGGATGAGTATTTGTAGTGACGCTTGGATGTAATCGGCCGAAATGGCGGACCAACCGTGGCACGTTGGTGGAAACTTGGTGAGTCGGGAAATGAGTGGAAATCAAACTCGAGAGATGACGAAGTTGGCGTATGGGATGAGGAGTGGCCTTGAATGTAGGCATCCAACCGTTGTCTATGTTGAGGCCCAACTCGAGAATGATCTCGCTGAACTCAGCACACATTGGGACGTTTGTGATGGATTGGATCACAGAAAGTTGATATGGACATCACTGGTTGTCTTACGTACCCAAGTCAACTGACTCCACTGCCCCATTTAGAGCCCGTTAATTGACAGAAAATATTGGCCCTATTGAAGTTGATCGATGAATGGCAAGAGGCGAAGAAGGTAGAAGATGTGACCAGACCAAGAATTGGTGGACCCACCCTTACAGATGAAGAAACCTGATCTCGGTAGGAACCTTCTTGACTATGTATGGATGTATCTGGACTACTCGATCCCTTGTGATGTGCGAGAGTCCATTCTGGAAACTATCAACGTCGTTGCTCTTCGGTGTGGATCGGAAGTGGGGGAATATGATACTCTTCTCAGACTACACATACAATTCCCAGACCTGAGTTCACCGAAATGGAAATCGAAATGGTTGTGTGTAACGAAAATGATGATGGATGATCTCAGGATATCAGTGGAGAGTGCTTAAGTTGTCAC